CAGCTTCCAGTATGGGGAAGGGAAAGTCAGGTGTGGTCTCATCAGGCACTGGACACCCCCACCCACGCCCACCCCCGATGTCTGGAAGCCTTGTTTGATGCCCTTGGAAGTTTTCCTTGGAGCCCAAGAGAGCCGCTATTGCTTGTGTAGTAAATCACTGTGAAACTTCACTGGCTGAGGGACTGTTGGGAAAGTTTTAGCCAACCTGAGTTAATGAAAAGTCTGAATAACAGAACTCTGAACGAAATGCAGCTTTTTAACTTCCAAGAATATGCAGTAATCCCACTTACCAATGTTGCTAAATGTAGGTTTTAGTGACCGGATATAAATTACTTTTAAAAGCAAATGGTACAATTAAAATGGTGGAAGTGGTAGAAAACAATTACATAACTATGCCTGAGCCCCTTTGCAGTCTTCATACACTGGTCAGCCTCGCTTTGAATGGTATGAAGGAAAAGTTAAGCAAAATTTATGTCCAAATTACACATTTTAAGTATAAGGTTCCAAATTAATGAGGTTCTAAAGTACCTTTGATCATTGTCTTGCAGTTACGTATTTATGCTACTTCTTAACCACTTTTGATTTCCAAACACCGATTGGAAATGCTTTTCTTTTCCCTTTCATGGTTAATCCCAGGATATAATTCTGTAATGGCAGGGAGATCGGTCTGTGTTTTGGTGGCCCAGGGGCAACAAAGCTCTGAGTGACACTAGGAGAGATACTTACAAACATTGGTTTGAGAAATAGAGGAGTATTTCAAGAGCCAGCTGGGGAGGAAAATGAAACCAAACTGAAATGAAGCAACGTCAAGCGCCAGCAGTCTGCGGCGTGCTTCAGTCAAGTCTGCTGTAACTTTCTGACTGAAGAGTCACTCAGAGCACAGCCCGGTCTCCGAACAGTTTGACTCCAGGGTAACAATGACTGCAGAGGGAGAGAGGGAGACGGGAAAGGAAGATGAGTAAGAAGCACTAGGCCGGTTTTCATTTTGTTTGCACTCTGTCCTGTTCTGGTGTCCTTCCGTTTCATAACAGAGGATGTCTCAGGGAGAGTCAGGCACCAATTTTAGCCAAGCGAACCTGAGCCCAGGGGAGCCTCCTGGGAGAGGCCCTGCCTTCCCGTCCCAGTCCTGCCAGCAACTAACTCATCTTATGTTTTTATCGGCAACATGGTTTGAGAATTATAAAAATCTTAAAGATCACTTAGTCCAGCTTCCCACCCCATCTAGACATCTCATCTCCGACCGACACACACATCCTCCCTCTGGCTAAACGATTCCGGAGAAGGGAGAACATTACCTCAGAATGAGGCATCTGATTCCAGTTTTTGCAAGTCTTACTTCTGTTACACTGAAATCTGCCTTCTTGAAATTTCCACCCTAAAGCCTTGGTTCTACCCTTTGAACCCACATATGGAATAAACAGCCTGGTGGATATCGCTGCTCTCGCATCCTGGTCACAAACGTTGCCCACTCATCTCTGAACAAGCTCCAGGTGAAAATTCCCCTTTCAAAATGAAGTGTCAGAACTGAACCTGACACTCCATACGTGGCCGAAGTGTGCAGAACACGCTAGGACTGTTATTTTTCTTTTTTCTTAAAATTCAATTTATTTAAACTAAAAAAACAAAAGGGTGAACTGTTTTTGTTTTTTTCTAGTTTAAATAAATTTAATTTAAAAAAAAAAGGACTGGGGGCCAGCCCAGTGGTGTGGTGGTTAGGTTCGCACGCTCCGCTTCGTTGGCCCAGGGTTCGCAGGTTTGGATCCTGGGTGCAGACCTACCTACCACTCGTCAAGCCATGCTGTGGTGGCGTCCCACATACAAAAAAATAGAGGAAGATGGGCACGGATGTTAGCTCAGTGACAATCCTCCTCAAGCAAAAAGAAGGATTGGCAACAGATGTTAGCTCAGGGCCAGTCTTCCTCAAAAAGGACTATTATTTTTCTTCTTCTGTGATTGAACTTTTGGAAATGCAGTTCAAGATTGCAGTAGCTTTTTTGGCAACCACATCTAGATTCTATTGCCTCCCATTTAGCTTTGAGTCAACACCACTGGGGCTTTTTCACGTGAGCACCTCTGTGAAGCCCTGTGTTCCTGTCCTGTATGCATGTGATTTTTTTTTTTTAACCCAAGTGCAGTGTTTACTCAACTTTAAAGTTTATATCACCATTTATTGATTACTCACTATGTGCTCGATGCCTTTCATATCAATTCCTGATGCCTCCCAGAATCCCATGAGGATGACATTACCCCTCTTGTACAGATGGTGCAGTGAGGCTGAGAGAGGAAGGCCCCAGTCCTGCTACTGATGCCCGAATTTTCATTTGGGTCTGGAGCCTCAGGCTTTGAAGCACTGCACATACCAGTTTTTAAAGATCTCTTTAAGCTGTAATACAGACACTCAGTTGTGTTTACAATCCTTGGTCTTGTGACATCCGCAAATTTAACTTGCCTGCTAGGTCTCTGCATGGTTCCCCAAACTTGGGTGGTGGATAGACTACTCTGAAGGCGCGTTTTCCAGCCTCTAGGGCACAAAACCAATTTAGAGAGTCATAACCAGCATTTAAAAAAATGAAATAGAGTAGAAAAATATCAAAGTCCATCATGTGTAGCAAGGGCAAATTTTGTTTCAGGAAACTTATTGCATGAGCACAGGACAGGGAAGCATGTGTGGGTGTGTGGGTGTGTGGGTGTGCGTGCGTGTACTGGGTCTTGATGTAAATTGTTTTTATAACTGTGGTTCATGATCTAAATAGTTTGAACACCACTACTCTGAAGGGAAAATGTTTTTGGGTCAACTTAGACTGTTTTCATTATAACGCTACAACTTTACTTAATTATGTATGCCCATAAATCTGTTTATCAACTCATTAATCTAGGGCCTATAAAATTAAATTAAATAACTACAAAAAAGCCAGTAAAATTCAAATCAACAACAGCAGTCAGGGAGGACGACGTTTGACTGAACTCAAATTGCTGCTGTCAGTGAAAGCACAGCATAGACTTGACATCCGGGCTCCTTGAGTTCCGCACGCCCACCCTGCAGTGTCTAGTGCCAGGCGACACAGTCCTCCCACACTTCTGAAGAGCCGACATCCCTCACTTTGCACAAATGTATCATGAATTAAATGTGCAGAATTAATTAGCCCACACAGTTAGAGTGGTGCCACTTGGCACCAGTACAGTCATAAACACACACACGGGCCCAGAAACGTGCAAATCTTGGTTAAGCAACAGTCACCCAGTAATCTATAGTATATGTTCATTTTTAAAAAATGATCATCACAATGAAAATATGAGGATAAAAATTCTGGTAGAGAAAGCACAAGCCTCTGAGGAGAAGCCTGCAGACCCTGGTCCTGGGACCCACCCTAATGTGAGCCACCCTGGTTGACTTTGCAGTAGCCAACTCCTTGGGATGGCATGGAGCTCAGCGTTTAGGTGGAGCCGTGGTCAGTTAGCTCCAAACTAGACTGTCATCCCGCCTGCGGTTTTTCCCCTCTTTGTTCATAAGAATACTATGAAAATTTCAGTCAGACGCCTTGTTGAAATAAAACGCATAGTATATACCATTCTCCTGATGCCTCCACCCAAAACCCCATAGAAAAGAAACAGATTTGTTCAGCATGACTTGTTTTTTGCCACCCCATGCTTATTGCTTGTGATCACTGGCTCCTTACCTCAGTAATTGTAGTGCTGTTCCATCATTTGGTCTAGGATTTTGCCAAGGATCAGTGTCTGTCATGTTTCAGGATCTACCTACATGATTTTGCCCCGAGCTGCCCTCTGGCTCCCCACAGTTTGCTAGTGTGCCTGCAGAGTCCCTCCCTCCCTTCTCTGGAGTGCAGCTTGTGTGGCCTTAAGGCCTGGAAACGGTTTAAGGCATCATTGTGCCTTATTACCAGCCCATCACTTGTCCTGGGCTTCAGTTCCCCCCTCACCTTTTCTTTACCTTTTCCCTTTTAAGAATCATTCTCCCAAAGAGAGAAGCCAGAGGCCAGCCAAAATGTGAATGGTTCAAGTGGTTCCGCTTTCTCCCTGGCCTCTATCCTCCTCTCACCAGATGCCCAACAGGGGCTCAATGCCGGAGCCATTCTGCCTTTCTGCGTCTGAAGTAATGCCCTTCCTGTTTCTGTGCTTCCTGAAATCTGCTTTCCAAAGGTCTAGGATACAAGTCTGACTCTCTGCCCAGTGTTCTTTTCCTTTGTGATGTATAAACTATAAGATGGCATAGATTCTTTACCCCCAAATTCTCATGATTTCAGTTTTACTATCTTGTATTTCTCTTAGATCAGACTTAAGTTCAGAGTAGAGATTCCTTTCATTACTTCCTCAACATTATTTTCCTTTATTTAAAAAAAAAAGTACAATAGAGTATATTCATTGTGGGGAAAATGAGAAAATACAGGAAAACAAGGAGAAAAATTCTTTAAGTGAAGCAAAATTCTACCAACAGGGATAATGGCTTTTAACATTTTAGCATTTTTAAAGACGTTCTCCTGATATATTCGTATATAGAAATATATACACATTTAAACAAAAATAGAATTTAGTATCTTTTCGTTGTTCTCATTATACTCAGTCATTAGCTCTCCTAGTCTTGGTGATCCCTATGAGGCCATACCTGTTGTCCTCCATGAAAGTGTGAATACACTTAAAGCAATTACCCGTATGCTACAGATGGACACTGGACCACTGTGCCTTTGTGGGGAAGGCTGAGCACAGAGCACCCAAGACTTTCCCATGGAGTGGGCGTGTCCTTCTTGTCAGGGATCCTGGCCAGCGATGCTTCTCTCCCAGGCTGGCTGGACATCTGGACAGCAGGAATGAGCAGGAAGCCTGGGGCAGAGCTGGAGGATTAGCTGGGGGGCTCCCCCGCCCACCATATAGGGGTTCCGACCTAGCTTAGGAGAATCAGCCGCGCCCAGCAGAGAGGGCTCCGTTAGGTGGCGCAGCTTTGTTACTGAAGCCAGTCTTGGTATAGTGTCAGTACCTTCGTGTTATCCCAGACTTTATGATGGCTGCAGGGGACAGTCCGGTGGAGGCAAGACCAGCTGTCCTCACAGCCTCAGATGACTGAGTCTGAGGAGAGAAGGTCATCTACTGAAAGAAAAAGGTGTAGGTTGCTAACCTTGAGTGGGGAAGTGTGGGTAAAGGTCGTTAGCCTCTCTTGGAGAAGCAGCAGCAAATAGAGGCAAAAAGATAATCTGAGGCAAGGGGGTTTGGGTTCTTCTCAGGCATCTTGTGCATTACTCAGTCTCGTCTCTTCCAGCAGATCCACAGACCAGCATGGCTGCCACTGCTGCCGTCAGTCCCAGTGACTACCTGCAGCCTGCCGCCTCCACCACCCAGGCGAGTGGGCAGTGGGCTCTGAGGGCTGGGGGCTGCATCAGCCTGGGAGGACTCACTGAAGCTGGCATTAAATCCCAACTGAAAACTCTCTCTACTGGCTCACTGTAAATACGCTAGGATAAGAGACTGGGGAAGTTCATTATCCACTTTTTCTGAACTAAGAAACCATGGCCAGTTACCTAAGGTGCCACAGTTGGGTCAGGGAGAAAAGCAGGATGAAACTCAAGGTCCCTTTCACCAGACCCCACTGACCATAAAAGGAAAATAAGAGGCTGTGTCCCCACACTCCAGAGGCTCGCTCTTTGTAGCCTCAAAAGAGCAGCCCTCCCCAGTCAATAAAGTCATGTCCCTAACACTAGAAAAAACTTACAAGAGGGTTTGTTCCTCCTGTTGCCCCTGCCTTTCTCTTTGCTCCCGCCCTTCCTCAGTCCTCCCTCAGCCAAGGAATCAGGGATCCCTTAATCCCTGTGGTGAGCTAACGGAACTCCATTGAAGAGCTGAGGGTGATTCCGGGTCCCCATTAGAAACAAGGCCAGTGGGGAGTAAGTGGTCAGCTGACACTGTTAGTTCACCTGGTCAGGGGGTGCTTCTGGGAAGTTCCTTCCTGAGAAAGACATTTCCCCCACCTTTTTCCCTTACTTACTAAATGGAGAAACCAGCAGGGAAGGGGAGACAGAAGCCACTGCCCAGGGAGGATGCTGGCACCCTGCCCACCCCAGAGGTGGGGGAGAGCCTGCCAAGAGGAGAGGATCACAAAGGGCAGAGGGCGGCTGAGCAACAGGCTCTCACGTCTCACTCCTTTTCTCTGCTTGCTTTTTTGCAGGATTCCCAGCCATCTCCCTTAGCCCTGCTTGCTGCAACATGTAGCAAAATTGGCCCTCCAGCTGTTGAAGCTGCCGTGACGCCACCTGCTCCCCCGCAGCCCACACCGCGGAAACTCGTCCCTATCAAACCTGCCCCTCTCCCTCTCAGTCCTGGCAAGAATAGCTTTGGAATCTTGTCCTCCAAAGGAAACATACTTCAGATTCAGGGGTCACAATTGAGCGCATCCTATCCTGGGGGGCAGCTGGTGTTTGCTATCCAGAATCCCACCATGATCAACAAAGGGACCCGATCAAATGCCAACATCCAGTACCAGGCGGTCCCTCAGATTCAGGCAAGCAGTTCCCAGACCATCCAAGTACAGCCCAGTCTCACCAACCAGATCCAGATCATCCCTGGCACCAACCAAGCCATCATCACCCCCTCACCAACCAGTCACAAGCCTGTCCCCATCAAGCCAGCCCCCGTCCAGAAGTCGAGTACGAGCACCACCCCTGTGCAGAGCGGGGCCAATGTGGTGAAGCTGACAGGTGGGGGTGGCAATGTGACTCTCACTCTGCCTGTCAACAACCTCGTGAACACCAGCGACACTGGGGCCCCTACTCAGCTCCTCACGGAGAGCCCTCCCACCCCACTGTCTAAGACTAACAAGAAAGCCAGGAAGAAGAGTCTTCCTGCCTCCCAGCCCCCTGTGGCCGTGGCTGAGCAGGTGGAGACGGTGCTGATCGAGACCACCGCAGACAACATCATCCAGGCAGGAAACAACCTGCTCATCGTTCAGAGCCCAGGCGGGGGCCAGCCAGCTGTGGTCCAGCAGGTCCAGGTGGTGCCCCCCAAGGCTGAGCAGCAGCAGGTGGTGCAGATCCCCCAGCAGGCCCTGCGGGTGGTGCAGGCGGCATCCGCCACCCTCCCCACCGTCCCCCAGAAGCCCTCCCAGAACTTTCAGATCCAGGCAGCTGAGCCGACACCTACTCAGGTACCAAGCACACCCTCTGCTCATGCCTTCCTCTCCTCCTTAGCGCTAAACAGCTAATGCTCCCTTACCCCTTGGCTTGCTTTTGAAGATGATGCTAATGCATCTCCCCATTTGATCTGAGTGTTGGGAGACTGTATCGTTTGGAGTGGGCAGTGAGTGGCTATTTCTACCTGACAAATGGAATCTCTTCACAGGGCCACATACAGCTTATCTTTAGGTATCAGATGAAGCAGACCTATGTACCTATATTTTGGTCCACTTGTTCTTTATGGGAGTCTTTTTGGGGGATGAGTACGGGGCAGATATATACTTTTTAATAATAAAGTTTATTTTTTATTATAATTACATACTCAGAACGGCAGCAAGAATGAAAAAATTCCAGTCAGAACCATAGAATTTGATGTAAAGTAAGAAAATTAATGAGCAAAATGCTGATCATTGTTAATGACAAGAAAAGACAGGAAGTAGCAACCTAGCTTGATAGCAGGAACATTAGGCTAGATTCATCTGGGTTAACTTCAACGAGAATGTTCCTATTTTTGGCATTTATTAAGGTGTTCTAATACTCTGGGATCTATTCGGCTCTGTGAGCAGGTTTTATTCTTTGTGTCTGCCTACTAAATGCCAGAGATTATGCCCATGTTGCAGATGGAGAACCTGGAACTCAGAGAAGTTACCAAGTATCCAACTCTCAGAGGGCATGAGGCAGGATTCAACTCAAATTTCAAACCCCACATTGATTTCCGTTTTCCACCTTGAATCATTGTGTCTTATGTGTGGCAGGGGCTACAATTAAAATTGAGGACAAGGATTTTTTTTTTTTTTTGGTGAGGAAGATTAGCCCTGAGCTAACATCTGTGCTAATCTTCCCCTATTTTGTATGTGGGATGCCTCCACAGCATGGCTGATGAGTGGAGTAGGTCTGTGTCCAGGATCCGAACCTGTTAACCCTGGGCCACCAAAGCAGAGCATGTGGAATTTTAACCACTCGGCCATGGGGCTGGCCCAGGATGTGTTTTTTTTTTAATATTAAAAAAACAGTTCCTGCCAGGGCCGGCCTGGTGGCTTAGTGGTTAAGTTGACGCGCTCTGCTTTGGCGGCCCAGGGTTTGCAGGCTCAGATCCTGGGCGTGGACCTACACACTGCTCATCAAGCCATGCTGTGATGGCATCCCACATACAAAATAGGGGAAGATAGGCACAGATGTTAGCTCAGTGACAATCTTTCTCAAGCAAAAAGAGGAAGGTTGGCAACGGATGTTAGCTCAGGGCCAATCTTCCTCACCAAAAAAAAAACGAGTCCGCCCGGTGGCATAGTGGTTAAGTTCACGCGCTCCGCTTTGGCGGCCTGGGGTTCGCGGGTTCAGATCCTGGGCGTGGACCAACACGCTGCTTATCAAGCCATGCTGTGGTGGCGTCCCATATAAAGTAGAGGAAGATGGGCACGGATGTTAGCCCAGGGCCAGTCTTCCTCAGCAAAAAGAGGAGGCTTGGCAACAGATGTTAGCTCAGGGCTAATCTTCCTCCCAAAAAAACAAGCAAAAAAAACAGTTCCTGCCATTGAGGAATTTATAATCTAATTGTCTACAGAGAGAAGTGAGCATCACAGTGACAGTAGGAAGCTGGGCAGTCTGCTGGGTGGAGAAGAAGTGCCCTTGAGATTGGACTGTGGACATGGAAGTCACGCAGGAGGGAATCTGAGGCCTGCCCTTGAACGCCGCCTCCCTTCTGGCATATTACGTATTGCCAAGTGATTTTCTATAAATTGTTTAATTTAGTGATTACAGTATCTGAGGTTCCATTATCAGACCTACCTTACAGGTGAAGGACTGGCTGCAGGTACCTGCACAGGTGCACACATCCTCGGCAATGCCGCCCCTCCCTTCCCTCAGGTTGCATATCTTGAGATTGATGGAGGCAGGGCTTAAACCCAGGTCTTCCTAAGGAAATAATCATACATATGCAGAAAGATTTGGCTACAGCATTATTTTTTCATGATGACATAGTTTTCCATTATCCTGAGGTGCTCTTACACAACTAATACCCTGTTAACTCTATATCTAGGCTGTTTCCAACCTTATAGCTAAATAAATTCCTAAAAGTAGGTCAAAGGATATGTACATTTTTTTAAATGTGTTATATTCTGTATCAGAGATTGTTAATCCATAGCCCTCAGGTCAAATCTGGCCCACCCATCTGTTTTTGTAAATAAAGTTTAATTGGAACACAGACATACCCATTTGTGCTGCATTTGCACTACGAGGCAGAGACCTCATGGCCCCGAAAAGCCTCAAAGATTTACATCTGCCCTTTACAGAAAGTTTGCTGACTCCTGTATTATGAACAAAAAATGTTCTAGTAATAGAAACTTCAGATACACAGAAGATAGCAATGATTCGCAAAAGGGGTGCATACCAGAAAACTGAAAATGAAAATAACGTATTATTTATTAAGACATACCATGAGGTTTGTTTGCTTTTAACTGAGAAACACAGTCAGAAATAATCTGGGAATTGAAAATACCCAATCAGAATCAAAGCAGGGTTTTTTTTAACAAAGAATTGTTTTTCCCCTGAATCATTTGAGCGTAAGTTGCCTCCATGATCCTGAAACTTCCAAATGCCTTATAGAAAGTATGTAATTCTTACATACAAGGACATTCTACATAACAACAATACAACCATCAAACCTAGGAAAGTAGCAGTGAAACACACTAATGTCTAATTCAGAGACCCTCTTCAGGTTTCACCACTTGCCCCAGTAATTCCTTTGTGGCAAAAGGATCTCATCCAGCGTCACACATTGCACTTAGTTGTCACATCTCCTTCGTCTTTTGATCTGGAACAGTTTCTCAGTCTTTTGTTTGTTTGTTTTTTTGTGAGGAAGATCAGCCCTGTGCTAACATCTGCCAATCCTCTTTTTTTTTTTGGCTGAGGAGGACTGGCCCTGGGCTAACATCCGTGCCCATCTTCTTCCACTTTATATGAGATGCTGCCACAGCATGGCCTGACAAGTGGTGCCTCAGTGCACGCCCGGGATCCGAACCTGGGCCGCAAGCAGCGGAGTGCATGCACTTAACCACTATGCCACCGGCCAGCCCCAGTTCCAGTCTTTACTTGACTTTCATGACCTTGATACTTGAAAGCTACAGGCCAGTTACTTTGTAGAATGTTCTTCACTTGAGGTTTGTTTGATGTTTCCTCATGACTAGATGCAGGTTGTGTGTTTTTTTTTGAAATATCACAGAAGTGATGCTGTGTTCTCACTGCATCCTAAAAGGGGGTGCATGATTTCATTTTGTCTCATTACTGGTGATGATTAAAGTGATGTTTGGCAGATTTCTGCACCTTAAAGTTACTTTTTTTCTCTTTGCAATGAATTAGTATTTTGTAGGGAGATACTTTGAGACTATGTTAATATCCCATTCCTCATCAGACTTTTGCCTACTTGTTTTAGTATCTTTTACTATGATATTTTTTCATTTAACTTATTTTTTGAGAATAAGTTTATACTTACTGAAAGGTTGCAAAGGTAGTACAGAGAATTTCCGTGTATCTCTCACCTAGTGTCCCCCATTGTTAGAAATCTTACATTACCAGGGTACGGTCGTCAAAACTAAGCCCCAACACTGGTACATTACTGTTAACTAAACTCCAGACTTCATTTGGATGTCACCAGTTTTTCCATTAACGTCCCCTTTCTATTCTAAGATCCAGTCCAGTACCACACTGCACTTCGTGGGCATGTCTCAGACCCCTCTGGGCTGATTCTCAGTCTTTGGTTTTCATAATCTTGACAGTCTTGAGGGGCATTGGTCAGGACCCTATAGAATGTCCCCCAGTCTGAGGCTATGAGTTTTTGGAAAGAATACCACAGAGGCAAAATGCCCCCTCATCACATCATATGAGGGGGACGTGATGTCCACACGACATCCCTAATGTTCCCTTTATCACTTGGTTAAGGTGGTGTTTGCCAGCTTTCTTCGTTGTAAGTTGCTGCTATTCCTTTTCTCCACTCTGTTCCTTGGAAGCGAGTCGCTCAGTCTCCCACCTTCAGAGGTGGGAGTGGGGGTGAGAATTAAGCTGTACATCCTGGAAGGGAATGTATCTACATAATGTGTTCTTTGGAATTCTTCTGTAAGGAAGATTTGTCTGTTCTCCATTTATTTATTTATTCATTCATTTATTTATATCAGCAGGGACTCAGGTGTATTTATTTTATACTTTGGGTTATAATTCAATGCCATGTTATTTACTGTGTTGTTCACATTGTTCCCACTTTGGCCACTTGGAGCTCTTTCAGGTTGACTTCTGTGTCCCTGTGACACACTCTCATCCTCTTTTTTTTTTTAATCAGTGTTATTGAGATATTCACATACCATAAAATCCACCCCTTTAAAGGGTTAAACTCAGTGGTTTTTAGTATATTCACAGAGTTGTGCAGTTATCACCACTATCTAATTTTAGAACATTTTCATCACCCCAAAAAGAAACCCTGTACCCTTTAGTGGTCACTCTCCATTCCCCCCCCCCCC